ACACTCAACCGACCTTATTCTCTATAAATTGAAGAATAAATCATTAGCAAAAAGAAAACGAATCTCTCTCCAAAAACCAGACGCAACGCCTTAAAAATACTTGAAAAAACTCAAGATCTTTTCAAACAAGCTTACTTGATATTCAGATAACCAATTGACAACTCCTGCATTTTATCTTTTGTTGCTCTGTCATCTTCATGGAATGATTTCCTTTGAATGATAAATTTGAATTTATGTATTACTCGAACTGGATAGAGAAATCTCCAGCTTTTCCTGTATTGTAATCGATATTTTGAATTAGTTAAATGGAGAATTCTATAGCTCTTGTCTTTCTTTGCTATCAAGCCAAAATAAGATTAAGAGATTTTGAAGTTTGTCTTAGTTATTTTATCAAATATTTGCTATTTAATTGTTCTTATATATATATATATATATTCCTATAAAATAGTTTACTTTCCCGCCTTTATATTATTCAAGCCTATTATTCGGACCCAAAACAGAGGTCTAAGCCCGAATAGGGCTCTATTAGTTTGAAAATAAGGATTAGTTCAAGCCCGAACTATATCATTGGGCCTGAATTATTTAGAACCTTGACCCAATCTAGGGTCATTTCGGATTTAGGATAGGTTTTTGAACCCAAATAGGGTAATATTAACCACGACACTGGTTTTCCTCTTGTTTGATCAAGTACTATTCGTATCTATCGTACTGACAATGCACAAATAAAATAATATTGAAGTCCTCTTGATTGAACCATAGAAAAGAACTTATCCATGCCATTACTCCCCTTGAAGCACAATGGCTTGAGGAGAAGTACATAATAAGCACAAATCGAACAAGTCAATATCCTACACTACATATACCAGATCTATTGGGCTGGTCTCATTCCCAATAGTGGCATGCCTACGCAATTCATGATCAGAACAAAAGGAACAGGTAGTTAGGGTCCAGCCCGAGCTCACCCGTTCTTGTCAACTTGATCCAACTTTCAATTTTGTTCAAAAGTTGAAAGAATCTCCTCACAGGCCAGAAATCCAATCGGGGCATTTGTGTTGACCCGATGACCTTCCCACTCTCCAGAGCAGCTCGATGGAGATTAAAACAAAAAGAGTGTAGTCGGGAAAAGGGACCAACAATGTCTTACACCAGCCATCATTATGTTCGAATCCATTCCAACATTATTATTAACATTAAATAATTATATTTGACTCCGTCATGGGATGGAATCCTATCCCGACATGTTGTCTTTGATTCTCTTCGAATTCCTAAAGTGGGGAGCTGCTGTGTGCACTGGGTCAGCTGTGGTGGTGGTGGAGGCGGAAACGATTCGTGATGCTTTGAAGGTGTGTGTAGTGTAGAGCAGCGTTTCAAACGTACTGAACTGGAATCCGATTCAAAAGGATAACTTGATTAAGCAAGGCATCTGATGCTATAAATCAAATAAAAAATGAAAACGAAAATATAAAAAAGCAATAGCTGATTGCTATATATGGAATGGGAGAGCAAAGAAAGCAATGATTGAGTCGAAAAATATAGAGATGGAGGCGATGGAGGAGGTTGAAAGAGTGGGTAAGGCACTGAAACGCACGCAAGGGCCATATCAATGGGCCATGTACGATAACTGGGAACGCCTAAAACGACACTACAGCGATAATCCGAGAGAAGTGCTTGTTCCATTGACGACAAACAACGACACTGTACTTCACGTCGTAGCCTTCGCAGGACGCAAGGATGTGCTGGAGTTTTTGATTTCACTGATTAAAGAAGCTCGGCAGCTACACCATGCGTTGACAATGGAGAATGGCCAAGGCAACACCGCTCTGCATGAGGTGGCTGCGACCGGAAACCTGGA